ACTTTTGCATCCAATTCATCAAGTGGTGATATAATAAAGTAAATAGTATTGAGGTTAGGCATAGTGTTTAATATGGAGGGCTTATCAATCGGTGAGGTAGTGAAGCCACATTGATTGAGATGGCTAGAATAGATGTTATGCATACCAAGTCATCGCCTTCCCCATCGAGAAATTTTAGTTTACATAGGATTACATTCAAAAACCAAATCAAAACATGATGTCAGTTCATAAGGTCTTTGACTGACGATTTGATCCAGTCACGTAGAAGGAAAGTGCAGACTTCGTTTCGGGTCCTGTTGACGCTAAGAACTAATGTCCGGATACTATTAGTGATATAGCTCAAAATGGTTCTCAAAAATAATATTAATATATTATATATATTTATGTGTTAAAATAATATATTAATATACATGAGCGAAAATTGATGATTAGACATTTGAACAAAATCAATATAAGATAAAGTACATGCCGAAATAATAATATTAGTGTTATCAATCAAATACAATCAGATGGGAAATAAGATGTTTTTATACCAAAATAAATAAATAACTTGTTAGAATGTTATAATGTGAATTGAATACAGTTTAACGTTATTTATTATTCTCCGACCTGACTAGTGGCAATAATATCTTCCATATCTCTGGTATTTACGTTGAGTCACTTCTATTGCATGTGTTGTGTTGGATATAGACTCAATTAACCAGGATTCAGTAATCAACCGCTGTCTCTCTCCATCTATCTACATTAGGGTGGGACAGACTCAAAATTTTAAAGATTAATATAGGTAGGTGGAGAGCGAGAGAGATTGATTACTGAATCCTGCCTGGTTCATCGAGTGATCTTCACCCAACACAACATATGCAACAGAAATGACTCAATGCAAATACCAGAGATATCCATGGAAGATATTATTACCACCAGTCAGTCAAATTACAGGAGGATAATAAATAATCTTAAAATTCTAATTCAATTCACTTACATTATAGCATTCTAACAAGTTGTTCAGTTATTTTATTATAAAAAACATCTTATTTCCCATATGATTGTATTTTATGGATAACACTAATATTATTATTTCGGAATGTACTTTATCTTATATTGATTTTATTCAAATATCTAATCATCAACTTTTACTCATGTATATAAATGAAGCAAGAAGATTGTGTAAGTAGTCCCTTGATATAATGACGATGAGCAGCAATAAATTGTGCTCGACACGCGGTTATCATCAGTAAATATTACTGTGTAACAACACTGTATGATTTTATCAAAATAAAATTTCTATCCATAATGGAGTTATAGGTCATATTGGTCAGTAAGTTTACAATGAAATTAAACTAGGGCGGTATAACTGAGTATCTTTGGTGGACACCATCGGTTGTTGTCGCCTCAGGTGAGAACTCTCCATATGATTTTATATAGATGGATGACGTCATATAGAGTGTCCTGATTAACATTTGATTTTACAGTTAAACATTTCTACGCCTGAAATGAGTGCAACCTCCAGACAAAAAGAAGTGTTAGGCTTTGGTAATTCTGTCGAAAAGTGACATGACTCAAAATCGTTCACTATATGGCGTAGACGTATACATACATTCCTTGTCGCCTTCTAGACTCTAAAATTTTCCATCTAATTATTTTTTTCTCTACTTCATTTTCCGTCCACTGAAATTTGTCTACACTTTTCTGAAACAAACTATTGCATTTTTATGCAAATTCCTACGCTGATAGGTCAGCTGGATATTTTTTGATTGCTTCCTTGTTGAACCCCTGGAACTTACTTGGTTTTGAGTTTGTTCCTCCTGAGCCCTACTTAGTTTTTGCATGACTTTGGACCCTAATATTCTAGGTTACTAGTCCTGTAATCACTGTCTTCCTTGTAAACTGCGATGATCGGTGATCTACATCAGTCTTATGAAACTGTCTGCAATTCCCATGCGTTTATGTTTTCTCTCCCCTATTACATGGTATAATAGGATTAGCAGTGTCAGGTGTAAGGAGGTCAGATCAGTTGATGACATGGCTAGGACACGTATTATGCATATTACATCATTGCCTTCCTCGTTGAGTAATGTTAGCTGGCAGGTGATTAAGTTAGAAGAGAGTCACAGATGGTTTTATCACAAAAAATAACATCCATCCAAAAAAAGACGTTGACTACTGTCTGTCTGTCTGTTTTCCACATAGAACTTTGCACATATGTGCGGCAGTTCAAGTCCCCACACTCCATGTAGCATACAAAACAAGAGAAGAAAGGAATAATAGAGACAGTAAACAGAGGTGTGCGACAAAGGAATAGTAATAACCAAGAACGATATAGTTTCATTTGAAATCATAAATCACAAGGAGTGGATGCATCTGCGCCATTGAGGACGATTTTGAGCCATATCACTAATTGTCTCAAGCCTTCATTGGTTCTTAATATCCCGAGGACCCCAACCAGGGACTCTACACCTTCCTACGTGGCTTAAACTAACTGTTGTAGATTTCATTGACTGATGCCATGTTTTAGTTTGACCGCCGCTAGCTGTTTTCCAGTCTGACCCTATGTCAGCTAACATCGCCCATTGTTGAGGAAGGCGATGACTAGGCATACGTAACACATGTCCTAACCATCTCAGTCGATGTAGCTTCACAGCCTCGTCGATTGATTTCCCCTCCTTACCTAGCACTCGACGCCTAAGGTAGGTCCTCTCTGACTATTGGTTTGAACCAACCAGGTAGGGAGGTATAGACTGCCTAGCTGAGATGAGGTAAGATCTTTGAGATGCTAAGAATCAATGACTGGAGGCTATTGGTGATATGGCTCAAAATTGTTTTAAATGGCACAGATGCATTCGTTCCTTGTAGTCGTCCAATCCTCAGTGTGCATTCTCAGCGTACTCTTAATTCTTTCTTTCTGTCTTATATTTCCGTCTATTACCGGGTTATTTTTTTCTGAATTTTCCTGTTCTACCTCTGTGTACTATATATGGTGTATGACAAAATAAACTGTTGCACTTCTATGCAAAGTTCTACGTTAATAACTCAGTTCAACATCAGCTTAGATATATTTACTCCTTGTTTATCATCAGTATTTTGAAAATGTGTCACTCATTTTCGTGCAATTATTCTAGTAAGACAATGAAAGCTTCGCAGTGGTTAGGACTCTCGCTGACCATGCACATGGTCCGAGGTTCGATTCCCTGCCGACGCACACCTGATATCAATTGTTCGGCCTGCAAAATTTGGGCTACCGATATCACATGCTGAAAACTCCATACTTGTACCAATAATACAGTATAGAATCAAGCTATAATCCAAAAGAAATCTATATTATTTCGACAATTATTCTCTCTCTCTCTCTGTTATCTGTCTTTGTCCATTCTGGTCTCAATGCATTGCTTTTCTCCTCTATTGATGTATACTTCTTCGAAGTGTAGCAATTTAATCTGCTTCACTTCTGTAAAGCGATATCTACACTAATGAGTAATGCTGCTTTGATTGGACACAAGTTAGTAGCTGAATTTTATGCGTCTAGGTTCTTTGTGTAGTGCAGACTGAATTCTATCATTAGTCAGCTTAGCATTGTGGCCACCATGCAAGGTGGCTCACCATCACGATGCACTGTGAATTGTTTTTATTCGATGGTTGGAGATAGTCGGCTGAAAGCCTTGGACATACCTAGGTTTCGTGCTTGTCGGCACTCGTCAGCAAGGTCTCCAAGCATCGTAATGTTGAGCCACCTAGAATGGGGGCTGGCTACATTGCAAGCTCGACTGATGATAGAATTCAGTCTGCACCAAAAAAACTAACGACAGGACGCACGGTACTAGTTACTAACTAGTGTTCCAATAGAAGTATATGTTACAGTCCTACACAGGAGGTGGTTGGTCGCCACTGCCTGAATATCTCAGTGGTGGTAACGCCTCTCACTTCAGCACTGGGTGGTGGTGACATGGGTTCGAATCTCAGCAGGAGGGGGGCATGAATTCCCGCAAGATTACAGATACTGACTGGTTAGAGTCAGCAAGCACGAAACGTAGGTTCAAGATTTCCAACCGACTGCCTTCAACCACCTAACAACAATATGCTATCTAGGACTTCATCATGAGCTGACATTAGTTAGAGAACCATTGGAAAACCAGTCAGGGAGTACTGGACAGATGTTTCGTCCTAGTTTGGGACTCTTCATCAGTATGCACCCACCGGGATTCGAACCCAGGACCTTCTGGTTACAAGGTGAGCTGGTAGAACACTGGGACCCGGTCCAATGGCTGTGAGAAGTCGTGACCAGTAGAGTGCAGCAGGTCAGGTGTGAGGACAAATACTCGCCGAAGACATTGGCTAGGGGTCGAGCTATGTAATGAATTGGCAGAAGTTGGAATTCATGGGCTAGCCATTGGATCGGGTCCCAGTGGCTTAATGGTATACGAGCTCGTCTTGTAACCAGAAGGTCCTAGGTTCGAACCGTGACGGTGGTTGCGTACTGATGAAGAGTCCCAAACTAGGACGGAACATCTGTCCAGTACTCCCTGACTGGTTTTCCAATGGTTCTCTAACTAATGTCAGCTCATAATGAAATCCTGTAACCAATCAAATCCCTACAAACCAACACTTGAAATGAGTTATCTAGTCAAAGAGTTGTATGGTTACAGGTCCAATGTTAAGTTATATTTTATTGGTCAAGAAGCGTTAAAAGTAGTGAGTTATTTAGCTCATATTTTTATGTTTTTTATGTAGAAGACATTGTCATTTTTAATCATCATTATTGCTGCATTTGTAATATGTGTGTGTACATGTAGAGTCGTGGAGTACCTAAAGAGGGAAAGGTAGGTAACTAACAAATGTTTGTTAACTTTATCAAGTTGTTCTTTTCTTCTTATTATTATTATCAGTATGTGTCGACAAAAGGTTCCTTAATGTATTGTATTGTATTGTTTGTTTGTTTGTTTGTGTACTTGTTTTTGTATTGATTTCACCTCAATTCTCCTTCTTTATTTTTCTATTAACCTAAATAGTCAGAAGTAGAAGAGACATTTAAAAGATTAATAGGTCATAAAGGAGTTATTGGAGCAATTATTGTCAGCTCAGATGGTAAGTATTATGCATAGTTTAAATATTGAAATGTTCTGTTATTTGATTGATGTTGGTTAGCAGTAGAAGTCAGTAGGCTCGCATTTCGTCCTATTTGGGGACTCGTCACGCCTAGATGTACTTTCAGTTCCCAAGTAAGTGATGCTATTCTCATTGAGACTTCGAGGCAACATCCATCTTTTCAAATGCCAAAGCGCTTTGTCCACGGGGTTGAGTCGACCCTAACTAACTTCAACAACTTACGGATTGACTTGTCACCAGAGAACAGTCTTATTGATTTGGAATATGCAGATCGTATAATCCTCTTAGTATGCATCGGTGGCATAGTGGTTGGGACGCTCGCCAACCATGCACATGGTCCGGGGTTCGATACCCGGCCAACGCACTCCCTTACCTGGCTTTACCAGAAATAATGCTGGTAAAGAGGAAAGGTTTGGCATGAGGCTAGCAACCCCATCCTGTAAAATAATAAACACTGCTACAGAAACTTCAAGTCACTAGCTTGAAGCTCTATGTTCCACTGGGGAACGTGAAGGAAATTTAAAAAAAATAATCCTCTTAAGTGAAGACACAATCTTCTGAACGCCTTGAGAAGCAGAAATACCTTGAATGTTTGGCATGTGATTTGCCCCTGGACTACACTGCATGCCTCCTAACTTAAAGTTAGGGAGTGAAGTGTTGGAGCGTGTTGACCACTTCACTTATTTTGCAAGTTGCATCAGCCCAACCGGAGTGTTTTCTGACTATATATCAGCACAGATACAAAAGGCTCGTGTGGGATTTGCCAACCTGCATCATCTCTGGTGTGTACTCGTGATATCCGACTGGCTATCGTTCAAAGGACATGTGTATTGCACAGCAGCAGCAGCAGTTCGCTCCGTCCTCCTTTATGGCTGTGGTTTAGACATGTCCATTGAAAGTGGAAGATATGAAAAAAGAGCCTGGTTAAGCTGTCTTTGATCACAGGTGTCTGCTTTCTATCTCTCATGTTAGCTGGTATAATAGGGTGAGTAATATTGATGTTAGGCTTCAACTGAGTGTTAGGCAGGGTTGGAAAATCTATTGATAAGGTTATGAAGCTACATCGATCGAGATGGTTAAGACGTGTGTCACGTATGCCCAGTCATCGTCTTTCTCTATGGGCAGTGCTAGTTGACACAGAATCAGGTCGGAAAAGAGTGAGCTAGTGGTGGTTAAGTGAAAACTTGGTATCAGTTCATAAAATCTTCAATTGTTAATTTGAGGCGGCCACCTAGGTGGAGGTAAACTTTCTGGTTAGGGTCCTCGGGACGATAAAATCCAATGGTTGGGTTTGTGTGCTTCATGGGGTGTGATAACCCCAACTGCTGTACACTTCTCTGTGCAAAGTTCTGTGTTGAATCCAATTAGTCAGCGCGACGGGAGCCACATGTTGTTCAACGAGTATTAGTCGTTGTTTGAAATTCCTTTCAGACTGAAGTGCTCCGTCTCTTGTTGACTTACGGGATCTTAGCACAGACGCTTCAATGATGTCTGATAGTTAAATTTACTAATAGTCGAAATATTTTGTTAAGCAGACGAATAGTTATTGACAATGTCGGCGAGAATTTGTATTTTTTTTAACAAAAAATATCGATTCAATCTGTAGCCCTTTACACCGGTATAACAAAAACTTATAAACAACATAATTAAATTAATTGATTCAATATTAGAATTTAGCATTAGAAATATACTTCCTGTAGTAATTGTGTTAGCACAACTACTGATTATTGGGTCTTCTTTACAATATTGACTTTTTCCAGGTAGAAAGACGGAAATTCACTATGCATACGTATTATTATTCCTACCGAGTGGAACATAGGGCTTCATTCTGTCCTCTATAGTCTGTTTTAGCCGACTCAACAACAACAACAATTACCCATCTCCTCCATGTCATCTTCAGATCCACTCTCTACTCGCCTTTTCCTATTCGGATCCCACTCGACGGCCTGGCGCTTGCTGTCACTCAGTGGTCTTCTCAGCGTGTATATACAGTTCATCTCCACCCTCTTGTGCATATTTTTCGGACGACAGGTTGTTGGTTGTTTTAATTGTATTTTAGATTTTTCCTGTCGATTGATTGGACCGAAGTGCTCCGTCTCAGGTTGACATGTCTGTTGGCTTCTTGTGCAAATGCTTCGACGATGTCTAAGCATGTAATTAGAGGTTAATTAGTGGATAGTGACTAGCAGTGGAATCCACCAGGATGCGCATTTCGGTCGAATCAATCGACGGGAAAATTTAAAATTCAATTAAAATAATTAAATATGACCCTTTATACAAGAGGTGGTAGCTCTCTTGTGGCCCAAGTAGTCTAGTGGATAACGCTTTGGTTGGCGTCCTCTTAGCTGCGTTGAAAGTCCTTTTGACCTTTAGCCTCCTAAGTTCACCCACCCACCCCGCCTATACCTAAAACTGATTAACTAAATTAACCACTTGATTGGTAAAAAGATTTTGATGTAAAAAACTGTATACTAAGTAGTGTAGACCCAGCCGATGATGAGGAACTAATTGAGAAGAAATGCATATTTCTTCACTCAATCTGTTGTTTGTTTTTTTCTAAAAACGAGTTCTCTAGGCCAATGCAACGCTGCATATTACAAAATCATAAAACCCAGTATTAAGCTCAACCTATCTGCTTAAACAATTCATATCATATACAAAACTTAAATATTTCTTCTTTTGTTCTAACAGAAATTTATTTATTTATTTTAGGTATCGCTGTCAGATCATCTATGGATAATAGTACTACTAATCACTATTGTGGTCTTATTCAACAATTAATCTCCAAGTCTCGATCTGCTGTTCGTGATCTAGATCCATCGAATGATTTAACATTTCTACGCATTCGAAGTGTACGACATGAAATTATGGTAGCACCAGGTATATCATCTTTATTATGCTTTATTATCACTATTATGTGTTGTATACTACTGATTCGTAGATATGTATATGAGTAGTATGACACCCACTCACATATATCAACTAGTAGTGATTACTAGCCAATTTGCCAGATTATCAAAATGATTTAATAAATATGACTGGACGGTCGTTTCACTCATATTTTGCGCCGAACTCATCAGTGTTGGATCCAGTTTGACACTCTCAACTCCTAGATGAATATAAGAACAAATAGTTCATCGAAGAGTCTCTTTTCGCCGGTGAATTCATTCACTTAACTGTATAATCGCAAGTATATTAGCTTATTTAACACCCTACTGCAATGGCTGTCAGGTCAAATACATAGGTGAAAGTAGTAGAACGGAGTCAGTCAGACTAGTGGAGCATAGAAACCTACCAAACTCTAGATTAGTTGACCCGAATAAGATAAGAAATTTGGAGAATAGTTCAGCTATACCACTCACTACACGCAATTGTACACAAGCATACAATAGGATGGGATAAGATGACAGTTTTAAAATCTAGTGTAACAGGGTGGAGGGAGAGATTGATAACGGAAGCTTTATTTATTGGATCAACTGCAAACACATGTAATGCGAATGATTCGACACCTGTCCTGTCGGTTATCTGGAAAATTCTGTTACCCCTACGACAAATAGGAGAGAATAAAGAAGACTATAAAACTCAAGTTGTGTGTGTGATTATAATTGATGATATGATTGTGAACAATATGTTGTTTGCATGGAGTATTTCATCATGAGCTGACATCAGTTAGAGAACCACTAGAAAACCTGGGAGTACTGGACAGCTGTTCCGTCCTAGTTTGGGACTTTTCATCAGTTCACACCCACCGAGGTTGAAGAGTCCCAAACTGCGACGAAACAGCTGTCCAGTACTCCCAGATTTTCCAGTGGTTTTCTAACTGATGTCAGCTCATGATGAAATCCTCCATCCAATCAAAAAAAATCCCTACAAAACCAATACCTCAAAAACAATATGTTGTGTTGGAAACTGTGTCATCCAGTAAATAATAATACTGTTTCACAGACTGTGTGATATATCTATATATTACAATGGTTCTATAACTGATGGCAACTCATGATGAAATTCTCTAAACAGTCAAACAAAACATCCCCACAAAACCAATACTTGAAAATTGACCTAATGCTCACTAGCGACTAGCCCTATTCAGGCAATTAATCTGGGGTTCTAGTGAGAAGACTTGACCAGTAGGGTACATCTGGTTAGAGGTGAGGTAGTAATTCATCAAAGGAGACATTGCGAAGTGGTCGGGCTATGTCGTGAATTGGCAGAAGCTAGAATTCATGAACTTGCCACTGGATCGGATCCCAGTGGCTTAATGGTCTACGAGCTAGCTCGCCTTGTAACCAGAAGGTCCTAGGTTCGAACCGTGACGGTGGTTGCGTACTGCTGAAGAGTCCCAAACTATGACGCAGGAAACAGCTGTCCAATACTCCCAGTTGGTTTTCTGGTGGTTCTCTAACCGATGTCAGCTCATGATGAAATCCTGTAACCAATCAATCGAACCCCTGAAAATCAATACTTGAATCAAATAGTTCATTGATCAATACTTACTAGGTTAACATGACAGATTTAATTCAATTTGGACTTTCCCATTGATCGATTAGACGGAATTGTTCGATCACTGTTGTAACAATGTCGGCTCATTGTTCAGACGCTTTGAGGATTTAACTTGAAGTCATTTGATGGATGGCAGACATTTCGTCATATTCAGGACTCGTTAGCTAACTGGATGCACCTGCATTCCTCTGTGAGTGATTGGTGGTGTCCCTACGGAGGCTCTAACCCCAGTACCCATTGTCTCAAACGCCAAAGCATTATTCACTAGACCAGTTAGATCGTGAGAGCCACCACCACCTCTTGTGCAGCGAGTATCATTAATTACTAAATTGCATTTTTCAAATGATTTTCATTGTTTATTAACAGAATGAATATTTGATCAGTCTGTTCATGCATTTATTCTCCTTGATGAATCTTAATAAAGCAAGAACAACAGTGGTTTGTGCAGAATAGGATGATAGTACCATCATTCTTTATTTCGTTGGCTTCTCATCAGCTCAGCTGCTTGCTTACAGCCTAAATAAATTATAAGGTGTATGTACAGAAAAGTTTTAACATACTTGCAAATTTTCTTTCATGATGTCAGTTGACAGAAGGTTCCACAATTAGTGAAAACAGTGCTCAGAAAATTACGCTTATATAGTTTTTACACAGGCAGTTCAAGTTTAAACAAAATAAATGTATGCATACAATGGCAAAGGAGTTACGTAATAAGGATGAGAGATGAGTAATATGATGAGTGACTAATAAATTAGATAACCAATGTACTGACTTCAACTCAGATCAAAATTACACTATGTCAAAGGAGTGAGGTTAAAGCCAAAGATTACTTACTCAAATGAAAGAAAGAATTAAGACAACCAGTTACCAGGGCAAGGAAAGACTCCTAACTGCTTCTTTCTGAAGACATAAATCTGGTTTCAAGCGTTCGATAGAAATTGCTTCGGCAAACTTGGGGAGAGTCGAGCTCCTTTGTCTATTGATAATTTTAAAGGATTTCGCGATTTCCACCTCATAACCCGTATCGATGAGAGGTCTAGTAATAGCGCTATTATAAGAGTTTTTTCCCTTGAGACGTAGGCTTTTCGAAACATGTTCAGAAAATCGGAGATGTGCCCTTCTTTCTATTCTCCCAATGTAACTACTTGCAGAGATACACATAAATTTGTATACAGTTGCAGTTAACATGAGAGAGATATCTATCAATTTTTGATTGCACCAAAGAGCATGTTGTTCGATAGATGGGAACGAGCTTAGCTGCAAGATAGTGACGTACTCAGTCTTCTGTTGACCACTGATGCAATGTTTTCACCTTTATAATCAAGTTGGATGTAGATTGGCTTTTTCTCCGCTATGATTTGTTTGACATTTGAGACTTAAGATCTTCCGTACTTGTTAATGAATCTTTGAGAGTAACCATTGCCCTTCAACATATTTTCAAGGAACACAAATTCTTCCTCTAATTTCTCTACAGAGCATAATCTCCTAGCTCTATAGTATAGAGTCTTGACTAGTCCTCGTTTAAAGCTATTTGGACAAAACTATTATATTGTAGGTATTGTCCATTCTATGCCGTCTTTCGGTAAATTGACCTCTGGAGACTATCATCTTCTAGGCGTTGCATGGCAATGTCAAGGAAATGGAACTTTCCATCATTTTCATGTTCCATAGTAAATTCAATATTTGTATGTGCGTCGCTGAATAATCTGAGTAGTTTGGTAGAAAGCATGACTGTCATTGTCCCACACTACAAATGTGTCATCTGTGACATATCGACAATAGGAAGTTGTTGTTCGTCGATTGCATCATGAAAAATTTGCAAGTATCTTAAAACTTTTCCATACATATACCTCATAATTTATTTAGGCTGTAAGCAGCTGATCAGTTTTTGTTGGCTAATGGCCTACAAATTCGGCATCATCTGTAATGAGACATTGATTGTACCCATACTATGATGTGTATTTGTCGTAGATCAGTAAGTAGCTCAGTTGAAGAACCCTGAAACCCATTAAGATGATTGGCCATGTGGTTGATGAGTTGAGAACTAGAATGAACATATATATTATTACTATATTCACTCTTTGTGTTTTTCATGTATTGCCTTAATTAGTGATTGGTGCTGGTTGCTGTTGTTTCTGTCGGTTGGTTGGTTGGTTATCTTCATCACCTCTGTCTTGTCTATGTTCACTTGAAGTCGTGTATTCTCTGCCAACTTATTTTTGTTTTCGCCTGTAAGTCTGCAAATTTATTTGACACTAGACATAAGTCGTCGGTGAAATCCACATCTTCTAGAGTCTTCTTTATCAGTGGTCCAACCTGTTCCAGTCTTCTTGCCCCCTTTTCCCACAGTCTGTCACATAATCTAGTTCACTGCAATTAGGAATAGGCAACCTTATCTAACTCCTGTCTTCACTTCAAAAGGCTTCGTTGAGTTTTCCGTTGTGAATCACCTAATATTGGCATTATAGCTGCTGAGAGAAGTTCATAAAAGTTTATGACACTGCACACCATAATGTTGAAGTACTTTCCAAATTACCTAGCGGTCAACGTCCTCAAAGGCGTTTTCGAAGTCGATAAAGTTGAAGTAGAGAAAGAGTTTTGACTGCCGTTCTATTCTCCGACTGATGATTGATGTGTAGAGCTGCTATTTGACCCACACATGATTTGCCTTTCCTGAATTCAGCTTGTTTCGGCAGACGGAGTTCTGCATCCAGTACATATTTTATTCTCTCCATGATGAAATGACTTAGTCTCTTACTTGGCATGGACAACAGCATGATTCCGCGCTAGTGTTTGCAGAGTCCTAAATCACCCTTCTTTGGTAGTTTGACAAGGTACTTTTTCTTCCTTCCAGACTTTTTGTAATATATTTTTTTAATTTTGATTTAGGCTTGATTCCACACCGTATTTTTGGTACAAGTATGGAATTTTCAGCATGTGATATCAGTAGCCCGAATTTGCAGACCGTTGATATGAGGTGTGCGTCGGCAGGGAATTGAACCCCGGATCATGTGCATGATGGTCGGCGAGAGTCCTAACTGCTGTGTCACCGACGCATGCGTGAATGCCTGGCGTGCAATGTCACTCAACAGAAGTAGTTGATAAGCATCTGAATCTTGTCCCTCGTACTCTAGAACATAATCATTATCATCATCACTATCATATTAAGTCATTAATCCAACTGATGATTTCCCCCTCTTTTTTTTACAAAATTTCATCTATTTAGATCGTGATTACAGTCTGATTGTGGTACAAGAAACTGGAGTGGAGTAGGAATCATAGGAACATCACACTACCATTTCACTGGATTTTAACTTCCTCTCACTTCATGTGGTCCTAGATTGTTTTGATGTGTCTTTTTCAAATGCAAATATTACACTCTGATTTGTCGGATACAGTAACAAAACAAGAGGAGGCTAACAATTTATGGTTTTCAGTGCACTTGTCATTTTTTCAACATTCTAAAATTTTAACAGTTTGTATGCGTGTGTGTGTGTATGTTTGTGCTTTCAAATGGAGCTTTCCTGTTATTTTTATCTTGTGTGTGTGAATGTGTGTGTGTGTGTGGAGTTGACTATAATCTTCTTTGGCTGGGTAAAATCTAAAAATAAATAGTTTTTTTAAAAGAAAGTCGTGTTTCGTTTTTGATCACACAATCAGTAAAATCTTTAGAGGTTGCAGGTATCGACGTTCGCGAGTTGTACGGATTATACTAACGCAAGATCTTATACCAACAACTTCTATTGTGTTCTCACTTCCAGTAACAAAGATAAAGCAAAAGACCAGATTTTGTCGTCCAAATACGAGATATGTTTCGGGACCAAATCGCGGGTAGAAGTGAATGCTTAGCTAGCTAGTAATCGTGCACGCACGTGACACGACGGAGTACCAAATGGCGGGGATGCTTCACCGGAAGCCTTCAGCTAAACAAGTCGACTTAAACACTGATGGTCAGCATCCAGTGTTGAGTGATGATTGCTGTGATTAATAATTTTGGGGAATTATTTACCACCACAAATCAAACAAAGTTCGTTAGAAAGGAGATTAGCATTTCAAGGATAACATTAATAGAAAGTATTTTGAAGTCAGTTGGTTAATGGTGACTAGCAGTGGAATCTGGGATGGACTCGTAAGCTAACTGGATGTACCTGCATTCTCCAGTGAGGCTTGAACTCAGTGCCCATAGTTTCAAACGCTGAAGCGTTATCTACTAGACCACTTTGTACGAAAAGTGCCTTACGATGGTGAATTTTTTTTTTAGGTTGCTAACTTAATGCTGAGCTTGATCGATTGAAGTCAGTTGTCAGAGTGTTCAGGAATAGAAGATATAACAGCATTAGTTATATATACCTCAATAATCCATACATGTAGTCTGATCTAAAAGGGTATGTCTTCATTTCAGTAAGTATATTGTATAGCAAGGGAAACATAGGGCTTTGGCAACACATTCCCATTGAACTCTCTCTCTCATTACTTTCAACTGGCTTCAAGACTACTTTCTTTTCGGAGGACCTGACGTGTAGTGTTGCTTGATTGTCTTCTCAGCGTATATCCAATCCATCTGCATTTTCTTTTAGGATATTTTGTGGGGAAAGTGATTTAGCCAACTGATTTATTGATCACAACAGATACTTGATTGACATATTTCAGTTAGTACTTAGAATCAGATGGCTACAATGATAATTATTCCCTTGGGTTTCAACAGCACATCTTCATTTCAGCCTGTTCTCTACAGTCCCTCTTAGATCTGCTGTGCAATTGGGCATTACCTTCCATCTCTTCCTCATACGGTCTTTTGCGTGCCACCCAACTCTCCGTATCCTATTCGGGTTCCACTCGATGGTTTGCTTATCGTACCATGTCACTCAGCAGTCTTCTCGGTGTGTGTCCAATCCATCTCGATTTATTTCTACGTGTCTACTGAACAAAAGCTTCTTGGTCGGTTTATTGTTTATTCTTCCTGATCTTCAGTGTGGAACAAAGGCAGCTGTTCTCCAGTAGCCTTTTAGAAATGCTTCTAGTGATAGGCGTGCCAAGTCTGTGGACCATATGGAAGCACTGATTTGACTGTAGTGTTGGAAATCAAAATCTTGTTCTTTACGACGATTTCAAATTGATGAAGATCTGCCTTGCTTTTCCTGTCCTGCCTCTGTCATCCTCGTCTGTACCGTATGTTGCTGAAACAGTGCTGCCCAGGAGGAAGTAACATAACCATATGGCGGTGGTATCAGACAACTGATGGCCATGTTTTCAGGTGTCTAAGTTGCCGGTGGAGAATGAGGTATTTTGTAATCAATTTACAGGTAACTTCCTTTCAAAATCGCAACTCTTGTCGATAATGTCACTTCAGGGTTGTGTGAGAACCACAGCTGTAGAAACCGAAAATTCCTCAATCTCAACAATTCGACAAAGCGGCGTCAAGAGAAGTGAGCAGTTCGACTTTATTATTAAACTTTTCAATGTGTTGTGAGAATAACTCAGTTTCACACAGGAGTGCGATGCAGAATTTAAACTACATCTAGAAAAGTCAAGTAATAATCGCTGCAACCAAGATAGGAGGGTTACGCACGCCATAATTAGGATGAACACTCAACATCTCTTTTGACGGCCTTGAATGAACCCAAACGTTTATTTCAAGTCTCTTCTCTTTGTCTCGGAACCGTTCTATATCTTTACCTGATTCTCGGATAACTAATCTCTTCGACTTCTGAAGCCTTGCTGAACACAATAAGGTGGGAGTCACACTGGTTTATTTAAGGGAGAATGCATGATTTACACCAGGACACTAACGTTGATTGTGTTCCTACACAAAGTTCATCAATTCATTTGAACGTCAACCACTTGGCCTCCAACTACTAGTTTGCTTACCTGCAGCACATTACAAACAAGTGGATTTTTAAGGGTGTATCCCCACTTTTTCTTCACACTATTGTTAATAAATGCACTTTTGAGCAGCCGTAAGTGTTATATTCTCCCTTGGGGCGGTGTTAAAGGCACATAGCGCGATCATGGTGCAGGTACAGCGGAATACGTGGCCACACAACAACTGTGAGCGTTATTTCGAGTTGAAGCCAACCGGAAGTGAGATCCAAGTCGTTTGAGCAGCGTAACTAACTGGCTTCTTAGACTGGACCACATAGATTTCGTTTCTCTGGGCAATCCTCCTAACAGGTTGTCAACAGTTTTCGAGAAAGTGATTATAGCCTAGTTGAGAGGGGAAATCAGGAGTCCAAAATAAGTGAGGTACGGTAGGAAGACTGGGTGTAAGATGAGTGAAACAGCGTTACTGCATACATGCATAATGGGAAGCAAAAGAAAAGAACGAGGCTAATAATGAAATAGCGAAGTATATAAAGATGGGTGGGTGAGGAGTTTATTTGGAGTTCCTGAATAAGAAGGAAATACTGTGCAATAAATTATGCTGACGATCCTGTTCACTGTAAAAATTTTGTTCAGAACAGGGATATTACTATTGGCAGTAGAGCTTCTAGTCCATGGCGCTTTGTGTTTCATTAGTTCCTCTTCCCTAAAAAGAGCAATAGGAACTCCATCTTCAAGTCTCTCGAATGTCGACATTCATACAGTCTGTACTTGAAAAACCTGCTTATTTGAACAGACAGAGCTCCAGCAAACTGTTGGAGACCACTGGGTTGATGTCATAAAACCTTGTGGATTACTCCTAACTGAACCCTGCAATCTCCAGCACAATGCTGAAATCTATTTCATGGGCTATTATTCTCTGCAACATCATACTGCACCGTGGGTTACCAGGAAGTAAGCTACCCTACATCATTGGTATTTGTTCTTCATCTTACATGTTGGGGACAACCAGACTCCTCCAATCAGGAGAGTGGTGCCGCTTACAGTCATGAGCCACTAGAATGACTTTAGGTATTTGGTGAGTATTGCGTTAGTTACTGAGGCTGGCCGGGGTTTCTCTTTATGGACGGCGTAACCTCTCCATCGCCCTTCTCATCTCGTTCATTCATGTAACCCGTCATCCTTCCACAGGAGGTACAGGTGTTTTCAGTTGAGCGGTGGTGTCTAAACGACCACTAACTTCCTACTTTGTACGTCAATAACCCGTCGGACGACTGGGTTTCCCTTCGGCTGCTCAGTTAGTTTGTCGGCGTTTGTGTGGCGTAACAGGTTGACCTACCGGAACCACTAAAGCGGATTGTGCGAAACTTTCATAATACTCAAGTTGCGCTAGGAACTGTGTCATTTTTAGACACTTCACCTGATAAGGTTTCCTTCTTGTTCTTCTTGAGCACACTGAGTCTGCCGACTTGCACTATCATTTTAGTTGAGCTGTTGTCACTATGTTTGAGTTGGGTAAAGCATATGTCAGCCTCCTCTGTAACAATCTCGAGGTGAAACATGACATCAGAGAGTGGAGATACGTTTTCAAAGGGGGCAATTTAAGCTATCCCACTTTTCAAAACTCACCTAAAGATCATTTCCTAAAAATTTTCATTTCTACTCTAGTTTACATAAAGCAAGTTGGAAAAGGAAATGTGGATTTTAGCGTTACTTGTGACTTGCTCTTCATCATCAGATTTCTAATTAAACGTTTAAAACGTGAGGAGAACAAGTGGAAAGTGTCGATATAGTATAAAAACCATCTAAACACTTTTCGAATTTAACTTTAGTTTTCCAGTCACATGTCTTTGCTGAATTCCAGTTACTTAGCCACTAGAACTAGTTAGTTGTAGATTTAAGATAGGTAGTAACTAGTGTGTTGCAGCAGGAACTACGACGAACGGGTAAACTCACCGTAATAACGTCCACATTTGTTAATATGACTTTGCCTGGTAATGGTACCAGTATTTTCAGTCGTCAGAGCCTGTTTTTAATTTAACGGGATGCTATCAAAGTGGGCACTGGTGCCACTAGCATCATTTCATAGGATCATACCACACTGCTGACTAGTCAGAAAGCACTTAGAATTACTGCATTTTCCCTAAGTTTCTGAAACCGGATGAACTACTTGTTATTAAATAGTGCCAAACGAGAAGTCAGCCATAATTCACAGGACAGGTTTCGAACTAACGTTAAATCCTAGACGGTTAGAATGGAAGTTAAATGTCACACAGCTAGCTTTCTGCTTGTCCAAAATGATCGATATGTGATTCCACACACTGCAAGCCATATTGGGCAAAATACGCAATGAAGTTGCCACATAGAGTGGAATCGGAAGAGGACACTAGAAATTCTTTTGTCCACACATCACTCTTCAAATGGGTGACAGTAGTGCACACTCGCATGCACTTCATAGCGATCAGAAATATCTTGATAGAGTTCCCTAGTTTCTTTGATGCCTTGCGTAAAACTATGATAAGCGGATGAATATGAAGAAAACGTTTTCAAGTAAAGAGACACTTTGAAGGACCATTCATGCATCCAGAAATGAATGTACTTCATAAAAAGGAGGCACGCACTCGACTTCAGCGCTACAAACTCAATCTCTAACTTCATTTCATCATAAATCATTCCTATTGACATGAACGGTTCATCGATGCCTGGAGGCATTAAATAAAATTCCACGGATGCAGACACTTTGAGCTGCATTCAAAGTGAATAGAATGGGGACTTAATTGAAAATGCTGTACAAACACCAGAAAATACTG